CGGAGAGCTGGGACCTGACGACCTTTGTTACTCATGAAGGTCTCTTTCGTTTTCGGCGGGTGTGTTTTGGCCTCACATCTGCTCCTGCTACGTTCCAGAAGATGATGACAGCGCTACTAAATGGATGCAAGGGAGTACTCTGCTACATCGATGATGTCATCGTCTACGGGAAGTCAGAGGTAGAGCACACCTCGAATCTTCAAGAGGTCCTAAGCCACATCGCTGCTGCAGGACTGCGCCTTAACAACAAGTGCGTCTTCAATGTCTGGGAGCTTACGTTCCTGGGACATGTCGTCAGTCACAGGGGATTGGCACCTCTCCAGTCGAAGGTCAACGCCATCGTCAATGCACCGCGGCCTAACGATGTCACCGAGTTACGTTCATTCCTCGGACTCGTTGGCTATTATGCCGAATTCCTGCCCCACTCTGCGGACATTGTGGAGCCTCTGTGCAAGCTGCTGCGGCAGGGTGTCGATTTTTCTTGGGATGAAGAGGCGGCGCAGAGCTTTCGTCAGGTGAAGCTACTTCTTTCCACCTGCAGAGCCATACTGTTGCGAGGTTCTTTGGGGTATGTAATTGACAAGATACAATGTCCTTCGTTTTTCTTAAAACATGTATCTACAAAAGAAATCAGAGTTCATATGCTTATACTAAAAGAAAAAAAAGTGAAAGCCGTTTACAACTCCCTGTAACGCCGAATTAGAGCGCAGCTCTTGAGGAGGAGGAGGGAAGGGTACTGGGGGGGGGGGGTCAAGTGACCTTGGGTGGGGGTCACGTGACCTAGGGGGGTCACATGACGATGACGATGCGGATACCGATGACGTCATCAGTGATGATGACAATGACGATGCGGATGCCGGTGACGTCATCAGTGATGATGACGATGACGATGCGGATGCCGGTGACGTCATCAGTGACGTCACTGATGACGTCATCAGCGATGATGACGATGCGGATGCCGGTGACGTCATCAGTGACGTCACTGATAACGTCATCAGTGATGATGACGATGCGGATGCCGGTGACGTCATCAGTGACGTCACTGATGACGTCATCAGCGATGATGACGATGACGATGCGGATGCCGGTGACGTCTTCAGTGATGATGACGATGCGGATGCCGGTGACGTCATCAGTGGCGTCACTGATGACGTCATCAGTAATGATGACAATGACGATGCCGGTGACGTCATCAGTAATGATGACGATGACGATGCGGATGCTGGTGACGTCATCAGTGACGTCATTAGCGATGATGACGATGCGGATGCCGGTGACGTCATCAGTGATGATGACGATGGCGATGCGGATGCCGGTGACGTCATCAGTGACGTCACTGATGACGTCATCAGTGATGATGACAATGACGATGCGGATGCCGGTGACGTCATCAGTGACGATGACGATGCGGATGCCGGTGACGTTATCAGTGACGTCACTGATGACGTCATCGGGGGTCACGTGACCCCGGGGGTCACGTGACTTGGGGTGTCACGTGACCCTGGGGAAGGGGTCACGTGACCTTGGGGTGACCTTGGGGAGTATGTGACCCCCGATGACCCTTGGGGAGGGGTCACATGACCTTGGGGTCACGTGACCTTGGGATGACCTTGGGGGTCAAGTGACCTTGGAATGACCTTGGTTACGCCGACGGCGACGCCGCTCAAGCTGGGAACGGGCCCCTAAGAGCTGCGCTCTAAAAAGAAAACTTAGTTAAAAAAATGGAAGGAAGGAAAACGCAACAGTAACCATGTCTTTGAATCACCATGCGCAGCAGCGGGTCTTGTGTCTGGAGCTGTCGTTGTCGGCCCACGGTTGTGGCAGGCAGTCAGGAGCGGGAACGGTTGGCTTCCGTCGATGACCCAAGAGTCACTGCACCAAGTGCTCACGCCGTAGGAAGCCGGGCAGCATAGGTTTCTATGCGCTGCTTTCGCTGAAACAGGCTGCCGGTCAGACAGTAAGAGGCTGCCGATTGCCCTGGCCGATGGTGTCGTTCCGACCCCAGCATGTTCTCCCGGCCAGTCCTCTGCACGCTCTCCGTGCACGCACTACCAATCTCATCTCTTCTTCGTCATCTTCCTTGTCCCTCTGAGCCGATCCATGGTCGACTTGCACTTCTTCGCACACTGAGTCACATCATAACACATACATATGTTCGGCTCCTCACTTCCCGTGGTAGTGACCACGGATGCCTCCGAGCACGGACTGGGAGCCGTGTTGCAACAGAAATTTCAAGGCAAGTTCCGCACCGTTGCCTTTGAATCCCGAACGCTAACTCAAGCCGAACGTAATTATTCGGTTGGGGAGAAGGAAGCGCTGGCGTGCGTCTGGGCATGCGAGTATTGGCACGTTTTCCTGTAGGGACGGAAATTTGAGCTTCGTACGGATCACCAGGCCCTGGTCACCCTACTGTCGTCAAGAGGAACGGGTCGCCGGTCGACACGCATTGCAAGATGGTCAGCTCGCCTGCTTTATTACAACTTCGACGTGCTGTACCATCGCAGCAGTGACAACGAGGTAGCGGACGCACTTTCGCGGCTACCTTTACCGGGACCTCAAGAACAGGAAGAAGAGATTGTGTCTCTGGTATCCTCTTGCGCGACGAAACAGCAACTACAGGAAGTGGTCAAGTCAGACTTCATGCTTCAACTGGTAATGTCCTTCGTCAAAACACAGTGGCCTTCGAAACGCAACCTCAGCTCTGAGCTTCTGCCCTTCTACCATGTCCGGGAGGAACTCGCGGTCATGGATGATCTCCTGCTGCGGGACGAGCGCTTGGCAATTCCGGTCTCACTGACCTTTATGCTACTGGAAGCTGCGCATGAAGGCCATCCTGGCATTGTTCGTACCAAACACAGACTTCGTAGCCTGTATTGGTGGCCGGGACTTGATAAGCAAGTGGAGCAAGTAATCAACTGTTGCAGTATTTGTCAGTCAGCCGACAAATCTGCCAAATTTGCAGTGGCACCCCTGCAGCCAATTCCATGGCCTTGGCAAAAGCTGGCAGTGGATATCGTCGGGCCCTTTGGAAGGGCCAAGAAGAGTTGTAAGTTTGCAATAACATTAATAGACTTTTACTCAAAGTGGCCAGAGGTCTTTTTCGCGTCGAACGTGACATCGGAAACGGCAATGAAGTTCCTGACAGCGGTCTTCGACCGTGAAGGATATCCCGACGAACTTGTGAACAACCATGGACCACAACTGACGTCGGGCAAATAGAGCACTTCAATAGGGTGCTGAAGGACTTCGTTCAGCTGGCATCATTGGAGCAACGTCCTCTAGAAACTGCAGTACTGGAGTACCTTGCTGTTTATCGGAGTACCCCCCAGGCAACGACAGGTATGCCACCGGCTGTATTGCTGCACGGTCGTGCCCCTCGGACCATGCTGGACATCGTTGGGTGGCCTAGCCCAAGATTCTTTGGTGACCCCAGTTCAGAGATGGCCAAACTACGGGAGCGAGTGAAGACTAAGCAGAAATACAGCAAGGAGTCTATGGATTGAAAGAGGTGTGAAGACTCCAAAGTTTCGTCCAGGCGACTTTGTGAGGGTGAAGAAACCGACTATCACCAAGAAAGGTGACCTGTCCTACAGTAAGCCACTGAAAATTGTGGGACAGAAGGGTCCAAGTTCTTTTATTCTTGAAGATCACCACACGTGGAACGCTTCAAAGTTGTCAAGTGTACCGCAGATGCCTGCAGGTGATACGCCGAGTCCAGCCAAGCCCATGTCATCTCCCTCGACAAGAGTATTGAGAGATTTTAGTGCTTCCGAAGTTTCAGATGAAGGCGAGGACGTGGAGCAGCTTGAGACACCCCTGGATAGCGGAGGAGAGCCTGCAGAGGAGCGAGTGCCGGGGAAAGATCAAAGCCGGCCGCTACCGAGGAGGTTGACTCAAGAGCGGCGACCACCAGCATGGCTTCAAAAGTACTACAAGAAATAGACATTCTTTTGATTAAAGTGGAAGTGCGTAGAAGTTAGATATTTCGTAGAAGTTAGACATTGCATAAGTTAACTTCTTGCAAGGGGGGAGAGATGTTGTAACGCGTCGGCAACCTTGCCAACTCTTGTATGTTTTGTTTGTTTGCTGGAACGCTGACGTCTGATGCCAATAAAAGATTGTACTGCTTGAGTCGAACAGGCAGAAAACCACGGAATACGTCTACTGCGTTTTTGCTACCGGCTGGCTCGGGTCGTTTGCTCGTCCGCCTTCCTTTGGCCGAAACTACACGTATCTTCTAGATCATACACGCGGCAATACTACATGTCTATGCTGCATCTGTAGGCATGCGTATCGCGGGCTCCCGAAGGTATGATCTCCGGGCTCCTTCAATTTCTGGAGCCAATTCCAACGAGAGTTCCGCCGCGGGCACCGTGTGTAGCCTCAGAATGTAGAGCTGGAATGAAACTGCTCCCTGGTAGGGAGCCTAGATTTAAGAGTGGTAGCAACTTAAACCATGGAGCGTTTGCAATTTAGGCGGACACCTCTTTGCTAGATCGGTTGCAAGCGTGTATGCGTCGAGTAGTCGCGTGGCGAGGACAGAAGCGGGCGAAGACGCTTGCGAACGAGCACCGCATCTCCCTTCAGCTCGTGTTGCAAACGCGGCCCATTAATCCCGTGACTGTGATGGAGCAGTTGGAAACACTCTGAAATGTAGGCACGCTAATCTCCAGCACCACTCCCTGGTGGTGCTGTGCCCCCTGTCACCTGTTTGCCCTGTTTTCTGTTTGCTTCGGTAGGGGAGGTGGAGGGGACAGGAGGGTTTCCATGTGCTGTAGGCTCACGTGCTATCAGCACCTCAGTCTCTGTATGAACCTGGTTGGCCGCCGATTTACTTAGAATAATCCTGGTTCAAAATGCTTGCATTTCGGTCGGGATCGAGTTGAACTTCGAATAGAGCGGTAATTATATTAAGGAGATTTTGTTATAATGAGGAACTATTCTCTACTTTGGTGAAAAACGGGTGGGGTTTAAAAAGCGTGCCCGGTGTCCCTTTGCAGAGCGAGCTGACCGGAGAGCACTCGACCATCATGCTGCGGTGCCTGCAGGAGGGGGCGCAGTGGCTGCCCCAGCTGTGGGCAGACTTCCGGCGCCGCTTCCTGTCCCTGCTGGGCTACCAGTTCCGGGTCCTGAAGCCGGCCACTGCCCTGAGCGTGCTACGCAACCCCCTCGAGGACTCCGTCCACCCCAGAGGTAGCCTCGTCATTTTCTCTCTTCGCACTCTTTGTTGAACGGTTTAAGTGCCCACAACGCATTGGTACACAATGGGTAAATGCTGGTTTGTACGCAGAAAAGTTTGGAATGCGCACTCATCCTTTTTGAAATGAACTCGGCAGTGCCCTCCTTGGCGGAAGTGGAGCGGGAGTTCACGGCGTACGACCTGCGGCGCCTGGAGCTGTATGCTCGCAACCTGGTGGACCACCACCTGGTGACGGATCTGCTGCCGGCCCTGGCACGCATGCACTTCCTCAAGGCCCTTGGGGATGTCCACCTGTCTGCCGTGCAGTCCGTGAGTTTTTAGAGTTCCCCAAAAGAGTTTGTGAGTTCAGTGAGTTGTGAAATGATGACTCGCCAAGTTGGTGAGTTTGCGGATATTGTGAGTTTGGTACGCGGAACCGGCGGCAACGTTTGGGGGGAGCGGGTCTGGTGCTCTAGGCCGCATGCACTCTCCCCCTGATGAGGCGGAGCTCCCCGCAGGCGATACTGCTGGGCCTGGGGCTGCAGCACCGCACGGTGGACGAGCTGTCCCGGGAGCTGGACCTCCCGACCAGCCAACTGCTGGGCCTGTTCAACCGCACGGTGCGCAAGTGTGCCACTTTCCTCGGGGCCCTGCTGGAGAAGTCCCTGGACGCGGCACTGCCCCGTCCCTCGCCCGCTTTGCTGCCCCTCCAGCCCGTCGTGCAGTCCCTTGGCGACGAACTGGTGAGGGACCGCCCAGGGGGTGAAGGTGAAAGACGTACTAGACAAAGAATGAACTATTGTTTTACCATTTCCACATTTGAAGCACCAAAGGAGTTTGCGCATGTGACCTGTGATACAATGTCTTTTTAAGTAACTATTTTCTTTTAGAGCGCAGCTCTTAGGTGCCCACTTCTAGCTTGAGCGGTGTTGCCGTCACCGTTGCTGTTGGCGTAAGTGCACATTGCCTTATGGGACATTTCCCATAATGCAATGCGCTTGTGACGTCACGAAGGTCACTTGTGAAGGTCACGACCTTCACGTGACTTTCACGAGTGACGTCACGAGGGGGGAGGAGGAAGGAAAGAGGAGAAATGAGAGGAGGAAGAGGAGAAGGAGGAGAGAGTAGGAAGGGGGATGAGGGTCATACCCTCCTGTCCACTCCCTCCTCTCCTCTTCCTCAAGAGCTGTGCTCTAATTCGGCATTACAGGGAATTGTAAACATCTCATTTTCTTTTGGTAACAAGTTTACGGCGCACTAACGCTTGTTTTGTGCATTCCTGATGTCACGAAAATTAGTGCAACTGTGAGATACTATTTGACAGAACCACCATATTGGGGGTTTTTTAAGATTGTGCTTTTTATGGTGGAAATTGTGATGCAAGTGTTATATTCTTTATCTATGCCTTTCACATCCCCCCTTTTTTCTTTCTGCTCTCGTCATGTTCCCCCTGCATTTGGAGATCGGCCGTTGTGTGGAAGGAAGAATACCGTATTTACTCGCATAATCCTCACACTCACGTAATCCTCGCACCCCTAATGTGAGCCACCAAAAATTGGATTTTCAATTTCCTCGCGTAATCCTCGCACCCCCAAAACTGCACCGGCAAGAGTCGCCTGCTTGCGAAACCCGCATGATGCATGCGCTCTCGACTGCCCGCATTTTCCGGGAGGTGGTAATGGGAGTCTGGGTGCGTGCAGAGTGGTGCAGCGCGGGAGATCGAGGCCCGTCAGAAGAAGGAGCTGAAGAAACTTCAGCAGATGGACCTGAGCCAGTACTCCATCAAAGGCTCGGACTCCGAGTGGAAGGACGCGCTTCAGCAGCCCGGCAAGCAGCTTGTCAGCATCAAGAGGTGCGTTGAAAAGCTCTTCCGTCCCCCACAACGCTAGTCTTTCCTAAAGGGAGATCCGGGTTAAAAAACCGAGTTCATTTTTGGACTGGTCGATGTTTTGTTATTGCTCGCTTCATTATCCTCGGACATCCTACTCTTACGAGTAAGAAAATCGAAACAATATTCGAACGAGAAGTTAAGGAAAAGGATATCTGACTGGCTCGCGGCGGCTCGAAAAGTCGAGTCTACGCAAATGCTGACTGTCTTCCAGAGGCTGTCGCTTGGGACAGCACCACTTCTGTTTCTCTCACTTTCTATGTTTCTCCATTTCGACTTGCGATAGAGAGCACTAAAAAGAGTGATTTTTGCTTTTGGAACTACCGAAGCAAGCGCAAGTTTGAAGAAAAGAGGCCCGAACGCGAGCGGAGAACATCGGCGGGGGAACGTTTAATCCTAAGCCTAACCGCAGTAACGGCAGTGGTTCTGATGCAATCGATGCGCAGCTCACGTTTGTCAGCGCTGTGGAAAAGAAGATGGCATCCCTTGAAAACAAATACGGAACACGTGGCTATGGCTCTGCGACTTTAGTGATGCGCGGCATCAGTGCGCTGACGATACTTATGAGAGGTGCGATCTGCCCTACTTGTCACGAGTGCAGATTCTTTTAGTCAAAGAACTTTGTCAAATGAATGACATCTTGATATCGGGGATAGAACTGCTGCGCCAGTTGTGCCATTGTGCGCCTAATGACTTTTCATACGCCACACTGATACAAAAGTACCGTAAAGTTCCAAAAGAACACCCACCCAAAATGAAGAGGTAAACAGTGAAAAACATGGGGTGGGCTATCTTTGGGGATGCGACAGCAAAACATTATCAAAAATAAATGATAAACACCCTGGCACCGGCCATACCACGTGGCACGGGAACTGATACTGCAGATTGTGGACACTGCAAATTTGCGTTTTACGATGCAATAAACACGCGGGAATTCGCTATGAACTTCCGTATCATGGGAAAGGATACCACAGGTTGCAAACGCAGCACATTCGTGTTTCACGGTGCAAAGGACCCGCATAAACCCGCCGAGAACTCGCATCTCACGGGAATGAATACCGCAAATCACGGATCCAGCAGGTTCAAGTTGTATGGTGCTATAAACACTCGGGAACTCGCTACAAACTTTTCTGGCACGGGAACCGACATCGCGCGCGCAGATCACGGACAAAAACGCGTGAATCAGCTATAAACTTTATGTCACGGGAACGGATATCACATATTGCAGACGCAGCAGATTTGCCTTTCACGGTGCAACATACACACAGGAGCAACTCGTGTTACAGGAGCCGATATCGCGCGCGTAGATCGTGGACAAAAATGTGGGAACCCGCTATGAACACGCTTGTCAGACGTGCCGGTGCAGCATATTGTGCAGTTGATGTGGTTTCCGTCGCACATTGTGTGACGTCGAGGGGTGGGCGAGGTTTCGGAATTTTTATGTTGCAGTTATTTAGCCAGAAATACGGGAGGGGGGCTCTCTCGGGGGCGGGCGTTCTCTCGGAACTTTACGGTATAAGTAAAAACGATATTGCGCCAAGGTGCACCCAAACTGAAATTAGAAACGAGCATCGTCATAATTAGCTGTCTCGCAGTTTTTGTTGGCAACATTGACATCGGAACTTCCGGCCCAAAGGGAACGCCGGTGAGTCTGAATCCGAAGTCGAAGGTCGCTGCCATGCTTATACTTGGGGCTGTTGCAAACTTTCGTCGAACTTCGATTTTGACGTCGAACCCCCTTCGACCTTTCACTGAAGTTAGAAGCTGGATGTATGGATGGATGTTAATGGCTAAACCCTTTGTAGCGGGTGGTAGCTTGCACCACCTAGCCTAAGTCTAAAAGGACCAGCATAGGGTTCCTCCCACCCTTCTAAGACCAATTTTCTCCCCCTAACTAGCACCAGGCAGTGTGGGATATCACCTAGACGACCTTCGGGGGATCGGCAAAAAAACTAAAAACATCAGAAGTCCTGCAGATCGCGAATGCAGCAGAATCATACTTCAGGATGCATTATACACGCGGGACCAACTCACGTGGACCAACTCACGTGGACCAACTCACGTGGACCAACTCTTTCCTAAAGCGAGGGAGTCGCCGATTTTCCTCTGGTCAAACCTTGTCAGCCTTACCCCGAGCACAAGACCCACTGAGAGACAGGATTAAATCTTGGGGCTGGAGCCACGCGGAAGGGAGTCCCAACTTTCCTCCGTTTTGCCTGTCCCCAGCTGTGCTAGTTAGTTGTGCATGAATAAATTTTCCCTCAATAATTTCCGCCAATCTTCTAATCGCCGCTTTGTGACTGAATCCTTTTCTCTTCCGTCCTTCCATCGTCGCCAGCAAAACCCAGAGCCCCGGCCCAATCCCTTACCCCTTCAGGGAGGGCAGGGCGAAGCTCCTTGCACTTCAAAACCGGTGCTCTAGTGTCTCGCTCTCATTATGACAGGCGGCACATCATATGTCCGACTCCTGGAATTTAGCCTTGCACGTCCCCCTCCTCAAAACTCCCGTTCTCGCCTCAAACAGCAAAGAACTCCCCGGTGAATTCTCAGACATATTTTCCTTTCTCACGTCCTGTTTTTGTGACCTGTATATTCTTGGAGCTGATTTTCCCTGCATTCTTCCCTCCCACATTTTCCTTCCTCTTTCACTCCCTTCTTTACTGAAGTAGTCTGCTCAGCCCCATCACTGGTGTGAAGGTACTTAAATGTAAGCAAAAGAAGTTCAACTTGAGGAAAGTGTTGCCTGGTTTCTACACAAATATTTCAAATTTTGGCAAACAAATAGTTTAGAAAGTAATTTATCTTATATTTTATAGAATGGTTACCAATGTTTTCACCATAAAAAAGCGTAAATATACACTTTTAATGCTTTCATTAGTTGGTAATGTGAACCAGTGATGCCAATACACCCAACAAATATTGCACCCCACCTCCGCCAGGTGGAGTCAATTGGTGTTCTAATTTTCGCACATGTGCGCGAAGGTCGTCAAACCCTTGTCGAACATCAATGTTTGAGAAAGTTCAGCTTCGTCAAACTTTAACCTGGGCAGGTATGCAACATCCCTAGTTATACTTCGTTTCAGCTTAAAAGAGTTGTTACAGAACTTCTCATGGCAGAACTTCTCATGGGAAGAAGAATGTGTACTACACTCCCAGTCACTTGGAAAAGTCAGGGAACTGTCAGGGAGATTTCCAAAAAAGATTACCGAGTCAGGGAATTTATTCTATGCTCGCCTGCTTGTGCTAGAAGCGGCAGGCATGGGCAGTTCTAGCGACTAGCGCAGTCGGGTGCAGTGGCGCGACGTCTGCGCATTGTTTGTGCGTTGTTAGATTGGACTAAAAACGTCTGAGTGAAACAAGCTGCTGGGTCCGGCTGAAGTGCCGAATGCCGAGTGTCTAAGGTTGGTGTGGCAGCGCTGCAATCGAGCTAGCTTAGGATGCGATACAGCGACGCGGAGCGCGGCTGTTGCAAATGCTTACGAACGCCGCTACACGCAGCTGCACGTGCCGTGAGCCAGCCGCGGTGCGAACGCTGGAGGATGCTGCTAATGCTGTTAACCAGGTGCAACTCATGAAGGCACCCTAGGGACAACGCGACCTGCCCAAGCTGACGGGCGGTTACGGCCGCAGCGCCGTCACGCCAACTTTCCACGCGCTGCGCTTCACACAAGAGCATGTGCGAAGCTGGCGGCTCGTCGTTCTTCTAGTACACTCTCGAGCTACTGAATAAACTACTTTAGAGTAGTAGCACAAAAGTATGGCGACTAAAGAGTTACTAGTAAAGCGGATTAGCAGCGGGCACTTTGCTTAGTTCGTGACTCTAGTTAGGTGCTGTTGCTCTACTACGCTCTAGCTTTATCGTGATGCAGGAGAAACAGTTACTCTAACCGATACTAGGCTGCGCGAGTCACCACTTATTTAAAAGAAAACAGCCGTTATTCATCTACCCTCTGAGAGGCGCACGCCTAGTGATCTATTACTTCGTCAGATATGGTGTTTTCGCGCTTCTCCATAAACGCAACTGGACGCCTGCACTTTGCGAGCTCTGCCACGTGCATTTGTGGCTTCAGGTTGGATTTTCTATTGCATTATTTTCCTGAAGTGGAGATATACGAAAGTTACTCCGTCGCTGTCGAAGTAGTGCTCCTTCAACCTCGACTGGACAAATGTGCACATATCCACGAATGCAAGTTGGATTCGGCCCATTCCAAATGACCCAAATAGTGCTCACTGCATTGCACAATGTGCTGCCAGAAGTTCTCCCTGAGCAACATTGGAAAAAGGGTGATTACTAGTCATGTCGAGGGTAAGAAACATCAAGCTGCTATGAAATCTCTGCAGAACGCTTCCCAGGCCCCAATCGTATCATTTTTCGAGACTGCGACAAATGTGGACTTGCCTTCCCCGACAGCAACGGGCCTTTTTTTACAGAGGTAACGCTAGTGCTTGTAGCGCTCCAGCAATGCAGCCAAGCACCGCCACAGGAGCTTTTAGCCCCCCCGTGAATTAGTCAGTGGGTGGCTTTTTTATTTAAGAAGGAAGTCACAAAGGCCGAGATCATGTGGTACTTGAACACTATAATGACTCATGGATCTTTCCGTTCAGCGTCTGCGTTGCTGTTTCCGTTGATGTTCCCCACGTGCGAGACCGCCAGAAAAATGCAGCTTGGAAAAGCCAAAGTTGAATACACCATATGCAGGGATGGGCAAAATACATGCAAATATGTATCGAAATACAAATACAAAATACTTCGTCAAAAAAGTATTTAATTATAAATCTAATTACATTTCCAAAAAAGCATTTAAATACGAGATACAAATACAACCAAATGTATTTGGTCTCCTCCAAATACTTTTCCAAATACATTCCTCAAAATTTGCGTCAGCGGCTTCAGGGCACCTGCAACGGGTTTCTGGGTATCTCATTTCAATTTTGCATCGCACACTCGGGAGTTAGTGTGCGAG